CACGATTAATTTTTCGTACATTAGTCAGATTTAAATCCTGAGTTTTCGTAACTATTTTTTTCTGACGTTTCGTATAGTTTAGGAATTTTTATTGTATCGTTCGTTAATTCAGAATTTTTCTGCATTATTTCAGATTTTTTATTTTCTATATCACGTGCCTCTTGTTCTTTATTTCCTTTATACATCCACCTAAAAAAAAGAAAATTATTAGTTATCAATCAATAATTGTTAAGTATTTTTCTATAATTTGCAATTTGCTATTTGCTATTTTATATAATAGAAGGTAATGCAAATCTGTTGGTATCTTTTTACCATTGTTTTAAACTATAAATTGTTATCTAGATTATTGTTWGAATAAATTTGCTTTTCTCCCTACCCTTTTTAAAACTAATAAGAATTTTACTACTAGAAAATATGTTAAAATGAAAATCAAAGCATTTTTACTGCACTGAAAAGAAATAAGCTGATTATAGATAGGAATAAACACACAAACACACAATTTAAAATCAATACATTAATCACTCAATTTATTAAGAAACTGAAAGTAATAAACTTCGAAAGTGGAGTTTTTTTTGGAAGAGGGAGGGGTTAAACCTTCCYYYAAATTGTTTGACGAAAATATTTTTACTTATCTATTATACATTTTCATCTCTATTTTTGTACGAGTAATTTATATTAGCTATGATTTATTAACCCCCTTAAAAGTATTTTCATCGTACGATCCTGATTTAACTGTTTTATAATACTTTAGTATTTAATAAATACTAGATTCATTTGATATAACTGAATATAATAGCACATTTTATAGCTTCAATACTTACAAAAATATGAAAACTGCTGGTATWGTTAATCCTCCACCCAGAAGGAAATATGCTCCTGGGAAAGTTTTCATCGTTGCTTTATAAAACGCACTGTACATCGGTACATATATCATTGGGACAAAAGCCTCAAAAACTCCTACTACAGCACTTACTTGACCTAAACAATTCAATWATTATTATAATCATGTTAAAATTATATTGTAATCGTCGAAACAGATTAAAAATTACCAAGTTCGTCAGGAGTGACAAGTTTGGTGAATATGGATCTAGTTGCAATGGAACCAGCGCCATGAATAATTTCCACAATTGGGCCTGAAAAAAATTTATTTTTATTTTTATATTATAATTTTTAAATTTATTCTTTTACGTGTATTAATAATTTACTTACCCAAATAAAATATGTATTTATTGGGTGCAAATGCGAAAACAAAACTACCAATGACTTTACTGATGCATGCCATTGTAGCGATCAATGCGTCATCCATTTTCAATTTGTGACTGAAAACCCATAACGAAATTGATGTTCCTAAAATAAATATTGGATAATGTGTTTCATATTAAATTTATACTTGAAACTTTCTTTTAACATTAGTAGATTATTAATGATTACTTACCAATAAAACCAGTGACCATAGTAAATGTAGAAAACATACTGTAATCTAATTCGTCCCAATTAAATCGTATTCTRGTAGACAAGTACATAACTGACATTTCACCTAAAATGTATGATTAAAGAATGATTAGTTTTTATTTTTCCTTTATTTTAAATACATATTGTGGCCCTTTTAGTATTTTTAGATACCTATGATAAAATGTATAATATATCACATAAAGTATAACATATTATATAAATGTCCCAATATAATTTACTAACCTGTCATAGGRCCCATTATTATCATGAGAACTACCATCATCATCAAAAGCCGGAGTCTTCTGTTGTTATTACCTTTTTTGAAAGTCACCTTAAAGGCATTTTTAATGTGTATTAGATCAAAAAACTCCTTGACGTTTGTCGAGAATGACTGTTTTTTATCAATTTTATTGTCTTCACAAACGGYTTGAGAATTGCTATTTTTTACATCTTTAAGATAAAAAAATCCATAGAGTATACCCAGGAAGTATAAAGTTGAACATATTGAATAAATTCCATAAAAACCGAGCTTTTGGTACAGAATACCAGACAAGGCTATACCAAAAGATATTCCTATGGTCAAAGATAGGTTAAGCACTCCAATTCTAAGAGTCCTCATTTTCACCTGAAATAATAATTTCAATAATTTAATAAGTGTAGGTAGGTATWTTTTTGGAATTCAGAGTAGTATTTATAAATATCAAAAATTGTATGCCAACCGTGGTTGCGTCTGAAATGTACGTGAACACACCCATAAACATGATCATCCAACCACCCGTTAGTGACCCGGGCACGGATTCAACCAGACCTGCGACTTCCATCGGTAGTTCGTAAAAATAGAACACACAAACCAATAAACCCAAAACCCGCACGAGTTCTCCGAAAATGGGTAACAGCAGAACCGGCTTCCTYTTTCGGGTCCTGTCACTCCAGGATCCGATGAAAATTACGAATATGCACGGTATAGTGTGTTGTATTACCGACTGCCACATTGTCATGTCGGTGACCAGCCCCTGGACTTTTGCCTCCTGGTCAAGAGTGTAATTGGCCTTATTCCGTTGTTCCAATGCTCTGCAAACTACGTCGCTCATGTTTAAATTGACCCTACATGATTTTTGTAAGTTTAGGTTTTGTGTGGTGAGGTTGCCAAGTACACTTGACACGATGAAAAATGCGAGCAGAGGCTCCACAGTTATGTTTTTAATTATATATTCAACTTTTGAGCTGAAATTCATTTTTTGCCATTTTTCGTGTTCCGCGTCCACTTCTTCGGCCATGTTGGTATCGTCAATTGTAGATTTTTTTGAGAGCTTCATWATTGTTTTGTTTTAGTTCGGCTTATTTCGGAACGGACATTATTTAATGCCTATAAAATAAAATCCATCATATAGTATCATACAAAATATTTTATATAATTATTATATAGGTAACTAAATTATCTTTAAAAATGTATACTATTTTATATTTAAATAGTATGCAATAGACGTTTTGAGTGGTAAAAATATATTTATAAAATTATCTACACGTCGAGTTTTAAGCAAATAAAAAATATTATTTTATTGTCTGACTTGGAAATTTGACCGAAAATCCAACTTTATGTTGAACTAACCTAGAATTCGGCAATTTAAAAATCATTGCTGAAAGTAATTTATAAATTTAAAATTTTGAATCATAATGATGATTTAATTGAAATTTATAACACTAGCAATTCTTATATCTAATTTTATTATCAAAAATATTTCATAAAACCATGACTTGAAATTTATTTATCRGGATAGTACTGAAGCGCTTGAGCAATTCAAATTTTAAAACACTTTAAAAACACAAACGATCAGGCATGTTTATCAAATTTGTTAGCTTATTGTTGTTTTAAAATTTAAAACAATACACCCCTATTATCTTGGATTTGAACAAAAATGCCGTCTCCTGCCAGAATTTCTGGCTAAAAGTTAAACTAATAATTAATAAAACATGTATTGATTACATAAGTGAATATCATCTATATTTTTAAGGATTTTATGTATTCTCATAATTCTAAAAATAATCTATTACGTAAAAGCCGTTGCCATAACTATTAAACAATAGGTAACAATAATGGTGTATAATATATTTTAATTGCCTGATAAAAACGTTGGAGTTAAAATAGGTATACCTACAACTCAATACTAATAATGTTTAAAATGATAATAAAATATAGATTGTAGCTACTAATAATTATACAATAACTACGCAATTGAAAATAATAACGTTACAAATCATAATGATAATCACAACAGTACAGTTGTATAAACAACGTAACTTTATATTACGAGTTAGCATAATGATTTGGTATATGATTATTAAGTACATAGACATGCAGTATACATGTATCGTAGTTTAGGATTTTGTGTGGATCTGCGAATTTATTAATTTCTAATATAGTATTTAAAATATGACATGCGTATATTTTAATTACATAGTATACGCCTCTTAAAACAATTATATAATTTAAAAAAAAAATGATTGTGTGTGTGTGTGTTTTTAATTTAGTCACGTACCTATTATAACATTCTTGCATCTAACATATAGAAGAAAGGCATACAAATACATTTCCACTAACTGTGAAAAATCAAATAAACTATAAATGAGTTATACCCATACAAATCCTCTCACGTATAATACATAAAAACAAAMTAGAAAATTATATTTGATAAATTATGATATATACGTTAATATTACTGTGTTACTWACAGCTTTTAAATAATCGACCAGTATACCTAATGGCTGAATACTTAGTTTTTAAAACGAAATTCAAATAGGATACAGCCAAAGGTGAAAATCATGGAAGTGGCTCACGTTGATGTTAATAATGTAAGCCATATATAATAATTTAAATATGGTTACAGTGAAACCTCTATTAATGGACACCAATCAATAGTGGATCCTTCCTAATAATGAACACGTTTAAATTCCCCAGCAAAAATGAATGCACATAATAGGAGTTATAACCTATTGATAGTGTTCCCTCCTAATAGTGGACGTGGTTACTAAAAAAAAATTTACAAAAAAATAGAATTCAGACTTTTTTTATTTGTACATAAAATTAAAATTTTAGATTCTGATCGGAGTGAAGAATGTATTGATTTTACCATGATGTGTGTGTGTTTTTTTTG